TTTTTAGCCAAGAGACAGATTCGCCCGCGGTAGAAGGCCACGCGGTATTTTCAAGTTACCTTTATATAATTTTTTTAAATTGTTGACTTAGACCACTTTCATAATTAACACTAAACGAATTCCGTATAACGTAATTACAACTACTATCTAAAGGTTCATTTTTGACGATATCGTAAAAATTACATTGAATAAATTTAGTTTAAAATCATGTCGTGTGAAATAAGTGATAAATTCATTTTTTTTAAATTTTGACTTAGGCCACTTTCATAATTATGGGCACAATTATTCTCGAAAAGAAACCAAAGGTGATCAGCAATTGGTGGTCCCACAGTAATCGATTCCACTATCACTTGATTCAATATTTCCTGAAAATAATCTGCTTGCAGTGATTTACTGTTTATAAAATAAAAGTTCGTATTGGGAAACACGGTTCAATTGTGACCCCTTCTTGAAACGGTAACATAAAATTCTACCCATATTTTTTTAATATTGTTCTTTATATATGCTGTTGAAATACAGCGGTAAAAAATATGTTTATTCGAATAAGTGTGTTTGTAATTAAGAAAATACTATTACAAATTGTGTACTTCACTTCGTTCATCGTCTCGACTTATGGAACACTGGGACATGGTACGAAAACGATGATTGGTACATGATGCTCGTACTTCACAATTTTATTCGTATTATTATCTGTTCATGTTAAATCAATATTTCTGAGTTCGTTACGTTACGCAGGAACATTTATCTATCGAACAGTAGTACGAATATTCAACAATAACACTTTTAAATTGTAATAAAATCGATGATAATTTTATACTCCCCGAAAAGCGTTTCATAATAGGTACTTTTACCTTATATTATTCTACATCTGGATACTGCCTAGAAAGTACTTTTGTTTTAAATTATGTTCGTCAAGGTCAAATTAAAATTGGAACGTTCAATAATAAAAGATGTGAAACAGCAAGATAAAATCTTTTTCCGACGAATAACATTTAACACATCATCCATAACATGAGAGCATAATATTATTCACCTTCGTTAATAAATATAAAATATTTGCCTCTCTTTATATATATTAAGCATGATTTTACACACTGGATGGTGGTATCGATAAGCTTCGCTATTAATTTTCATTAAATCGAATGTTTACTCGCAATAAATAAAATAAATATTTGTTGAACGGGTGGCTTCTCAATTATTAAAATTAATTGGGAGGATACAGTAATACAAGAATTTGTACCCATAAATAATTTACAAGTTAATTTAATGAATTTTCAAACATCGAACAATAATGGAGCTGTAGAAAAAGGACTTATCGTCTATTTAACAAATATTTAATATTATATTTCGGGTCAAATTAATTATGACAATTCCGAGTAGACTAAAAATTAATCGTCACACATAATACATCTTCTTAATTACGAGTGAATGTCATCCGAGGTAGTCAATGGAACGATAAATTAATAATGAGTACGAGTTTACTTAAACGTACATGCAGTTATTAAAATTCCTTGAAAGCTTATTAACACGCATCCGTCCCACATTTTAGCATCTTAATGCGTCCCTTGGTGTCCAAACAGCGATAAAAATTCATTCTGATAACCTAATAAAGTTTCAGCTGGACTGAAAAGCTATCTTCTTTCAAAATTAACTTTGTAAGTTCTATCGTTGAAAATGAAACAATGAAGCTAGGTGTGATAAATTTGAACCAGGATTGTATCGGCATTCACAGCTAATAATATAACGTGAAAATATATTGTTAGTTGTAGAAACAAGTTCTTTCCAATTATCTTCATACAATGATTTAGCTATTGAAATAAAACCATAGCTTCGCCCAATTACTATCTCCTCGAGTTATTACATCATTTAAAAAACATATATATCTTGCGTTAGTCGACAATATCCAAAAATACTTGCACGAATTCAGGAATGAAAAAATATTTAGATCGCTTGACTCGATTAATTCCGTTTTAAAAGGTGCACGATATACGAATAGTTTGTACACCGCGACTGTATGTACTAAATTCTCTATCTACAAGTTCCAACAAAACTATCGCGACACCTTTACAAACTTAATCGCGACCTCCCATACATTTAGATTACTCGCGCCGCTGCGAAAAAACCTGCGCAAAAGGCAAACCCATTGGAACGAACACGTTTGCATAACAAATCCTCCAGTTCTAGCCTTGCCGAGGAGCCAATTCCTACTTTCTAGAATCAATTTCTCCTTTCTCATTCTCGAAGCTACCGGTAAGAAGTTACGTAAACTTGTCGTAACTCAGAAAGGGGGGCTGTAAACGTCGCGGGAACGTCGAATTCTGTAATTGCCGGGTCGCCTAATGCCCGAGTTAACCGGAGTCTCTATTACCGTGCGCAAACTTCGCGATTTTCGGCTGGCAAAGGAGCTTCCCGGTTCGAGGGAGCGTTCAACGACGCAGGATCCGATTAATATTCCCCCTAAACAGGGGATGGGCGAACGGAGACGTTTTCGAAGAACCAACGTTACATCGTTCAAGTTTCCAGCGGCGCGACGTCGCGAGCGTCGTCTCCTTCGGTGTACTACAAGGACTCTTATCTCGTGGCTGCGCGACCGGCGAGGCTCGACGTTCTCTCCTCGCCCGACACTTCTCCTCGTGAACTTTCGAGCCAGTTAATACATTCGCGAGTGCATTACTTGTCGCCGCAATTAGCGCGAGAATAAGTAACGCCGCGCCGCGCCGCGCCGAGCCGAGCCGAGGCGAATCGAGTCGAGTCTAGTCGCGTCGAGTCGAGTCGAGTCGAGTCGAGTCGAGTCGAGTCAAGCCGAGCCGACCCAGTCTCTCGCCGTGAAAACTTCAATTAAATCGCGTATACCAGGCGTCCCCGAGTTTCCTTTAGCCGGTGGCTTTCTTCGGTCCCGCGACGAGACGCGACGGGGGGAAAAAATCTAACAAGCCGGCAGAGGGCGGAGGGAACCAAAAGGAACAGGAAATAACTCGCTTCCGCGCCGCGTTCGTTCAACTCCGTTTCTGTTTCCTTTTCATTCCGGGAAAACAAACAGCCGAGGTTTTAACGATACGCGGATGATTTACCTACCCGCCGAGCCGTCGAGCCGTCGAGCCGCCGAGAGCAGCGCCGGAAGACGCGAAAATTAAAAATTCAGAGGTCGATGAAGTGGCAAATAAACAGCATTTCGATATGCGAAGGTTATTCGAATTCGTCGGATGAGCGCGATGCTACGGTCACTCGGAATGCGCTCTTACCTAACGTCTGAATTCAGAATATTTCTGTCATTTTTTGTTATTCCAAGCACATATTTTTTGGATGCATTTAGATGTATACAGGGTGGGGCATTTTAAACAGGTCACCTGAATAACTCGCTTGTTTTTGAAGGTAGGAGAAAATGCATTAGACCAAACTTACTTGGTATCGGGGGGCTCACACACACACACACACAATCTGGTATTACCAATTTTTCTGTAGGTGGAGGCGTCAAGGAGATATGAAGGTCAATTCTGTTTTTTTAAATGGAACAGTAAGTTTGTTTACTTACATTCTGATAGGGTGTTTCGAGGCGAATACAATGAACTATTATAAAGGTCATTCAAAGAATGGAAGAATCAATTTCCACCTCAAGAATGGGCGTTGATAAGTTTTTGTTACGTTGTTATGTGTACGAGAATTAATAATTGCACGTAATACATCAAGTTTTAGTAAAATATCAAAGTGTGAAGATTCGAGTAAAAAAAGCTCGGCACGGAACGCGCGTGTTAAGCAGAAGTATATCTTCCAACATGATAACGCAGCTGTGCGTAGTGCAAGAATAACATGAGCTCATTTCGGAGATAAAAATATAGATGTTTTACCGTTGCCAGCAAGATTGCAAGACTTGAATATTATTGAAAACTGTTTAACCGTTTGAGTCCCAAGCAACGCGATCGCGCTGTTCAGATTTTGTGTCGCGTCAAACTTTAGTGACGCACGCACATCGCATAGCTGCTTTCCTTTTCTTTTTTTCTGTTTGTTTTGTTCGTCAATCTTAACGAGCGCTATCGCGCCACTTGGTTCTCTTCGCAATCAATTAAGACAAGCGCTATCACGCTGTTCGGCACTTTTCGACCGTGTTTCTTGAATAACCCCTGGGACTCAAACGGTTAAGAATGCCAGCTGAGGAAGTATACTCAACAGGAAAGCACAGTTTAACACGTTCCGTGCCGAGCTTTTTTTATAGGAATCTTCACACTTTGATATTTTACTAAAACTTGATGTATTACGTGCAATTATTAATTCTCGTACACATAACAACGTAACAAAAACTTATCAACGCCCATTCTTGCGGTGGAAATTGATTCTTCGGTTCTAAATTTCTTGTAAACAATTTGTTCAGTTCACTAAGTAAACATGCAAGCGTGTACCATCGATGGTACACGTGGCACGGAACGTGTTAACAAAAGGGATACTCTATATATGTTCATATACAAAAACTTTGTACACTATACACTATACAACTTTGTCCATGGTTTTAAGAAACACTAGAAATTCAGGAGTATGTTATAGTTTTGTTGCGGTCTGTATGTGCAGCCGCTGTGAAAAGTATTCGTAGACCCTTAAAAATGGAATCATTTTTTTATAATTAAGCCAAGGCGATCTAAATCCTTTTCGGGTGTCAGAGGGATTAGTTTACAAGACAATGGATAAGAAATTGTTTTGAAAAATTGCAATCGGTTGGGACGCTAAAAATATTGAGAAATGATGTTTTATTAACTTTTCATTCTGATTAAATTCCTGAAATTGCGAAATGCTAAAATATTTTCAGAGCTTGTACAATTATCAAAAGTTTATCCTGCATTTAACAACAATGTTTGATACGTAATGTAAAGAGAAGTTTTACAACAACAATTTAATTAAACGGTAGCAGTTGTGCAGTAATCAGAAAATAATTAACTGCCCTACTTTTTGTTCATGTTAATTCATCAAAACCGCTTTGAAATATGCATATATACACGAAAGTGTATACTCACCAGTATGGTTGTCACGATGAAAGTTTTATTTTGCAGATTCTCCACGATCTGGGTGTACTCCTCTTTGTAACTTCTTGTGAAGTTTATCCCCTTCGTGCTGTTCCAAGTTCCTATTTTCTTCAGCCCCTCCTTGTTATTCAATTCGATGATATCCAGGATGAAGTCCGAGCGGAATCCTTGGTGATCAAATTTGATGATTCCTGTGAGTCCAGTAATTTCGACCTGGGAACAAATATGGAACGTGTTTTGTAACGAAATGCTACTTCAAACATCCAATTGCAAACAAATCTCTCTCACTCCATACTCTCCTAAAACGAACAAGAAACGTTTAAAAGTATGTATTTTAAACCGAACATAGTATAAATAAATTGTATAGTAAATAAAATTACGTTTCAATCAATTAAGTGTTTTAAGTAATGTTTTAAGTAGTGTTTTATTTGAAATATCCTAAAAATCTCTGTGCGACAGTTTGAAATACTGTGACAAGATATTATAACAATAAAATATTTTATTTAGTGTTATATTTATTATTTGAAATAACACCTCATTTCAGTGATGGGGAGTCTATTATTTAAGCTAGTGTTTGGAATGTTTTCCAACCTTATGTCTGTAAGTCGTACTAGAAACAACACCAAATTTTTGTTTTTTACATTCTTCTAGATCTCCAATATTGAAAAATCAATGAGAAAAGTCAATAATCAAATTCCAAAGTATCGTCATTTTTCTAATTACCGACTTATTTCTTTCGTTCTATTACCCATTATATCTAAACTTATACTATTTAAGAATCTTACATGTTTTTCACTTCAAATAAACAAAATCGCAACAATCATCGATAATTAAGATAAAAATAATAAAAATAAAAAGAGTCGAGTCAAACAAATGTCTAAATGTTATGTGAACACTGATGAATAAACATTGTAAAATTGACAGCAAAAGATGTTACAGTTTCCTCTCAACAAAATATCGAAGAAAGTTAAACCAAAGCGCAATTTACACTCGAATACTCCTTGAATTATTTAAAAATAGAATTATGTGATTTATGCAAACGCCTAGAAAATCGAAAATTCGAGGCCACGTAAGTGGTAATATAATGGAGCCGGTTATTGTGGGCTGATCAATTGCTGTGCCTTTGATCAGTTCTCGGGCAGAATTAACTTTATATTTATCGAATAAGACACATTAATTTTTTTCATTCGTCTATTTTGCTTATCTCTCAATAAAAAGATTTAATATGTCTTGTTCGATAAGTATAAATTTAATTATGTCCGAAAACAAACCGGATGCATAGCAATTGGTCAGCCCATAGTAACCGGCTCCGCTAGCCTATTCATTAAAACAAGTCCTGAAACGGCTATTAAATTCTAAGAATTTTCGGATATTCCAATACTTTCGAGGAACATAACCTCGACATTTACTGGACCCCGTACCAATCCCGAAAAAAATGACTCTTCCCGAGCCACCCCAACATTTTCGGATTCTCTCTAGTTATCGGCTATCTCTCTTGCCGATAGTAAAGTGCTCGTAACCAGGAATCTCACGCGATCGACTCGTGTGCAGCACGATGACACGGTCGGTTTTGGCTCTATTCGGCAGTTGGTCGACAGGGGTCAACGTCAACTAGGAACCACGCTGGCAAAACCGCGAGGGCTATAATTTGTCAACGAGGTCCGACGGGACGGGTTCGTTTAACCCGTGGAGTAACTTTCCATTGTTTGGGCAGAACAATCGGTGGAACATAGGGAAGACCTGGTCCCGCCTTCTGCGCCGGCACAGTTTACTGGCGTCGTCCGTCACCGTTCCAGGGATGCTCGCGGTGCGTTGCACATGGCAGCACTCGTGGCGCTCGTTAATAAGCGACCGAACGCCAGGGGGGAGGAACAGTCAGATTAAGCATATCGTTATAATGGCTTATTACGTTGCCCGGACGGCCGATCGATGTCCATAATTCCGCAAAATTAATTTCCTCTTCCTCGGCCCTGCACGCCTCGCCCCTCTCAGCGCCGCGCCTCAGCGCGCCCCATCGCGCCGCTTTCGACCCCCTCGCGTACCAAGCCGCCGATAAACTCTGCTCTCTGCGAGCAGAGATACAGAAGCCAGCGACCGAATTAAAGATCGCCGCCGATAACGACCGAACTCCAACGTTGTCGCATCGGTTACGCGAGCTTTTTGACAGACTGCGAGCGCGCTCGCTCTCGAGCCTGGGCCACTGCGCCGAGGAGACATATCCGCACGCAATTATGGTAGTTATGCGCCACGACGCACAGTAGCACATTTTGTCGAACAGCTGGTCAAGATACAGGTTTTCAATGTATAAAGCAGACTTATACTAATATGAGCCGTTTATCTTGAAAGCGGTATAAGTCACTTTTTCAAAAAAATCGAGTTAATGGTAACACTAATTACAATTGAACGGTATCTTTTCATTTTTAAAAAATTTGCAATCAATCAGTTTGAAATATAGCATGTCTCCTTTATCCTGTACATTCAAATATCTTCGTTAATTTTGTTTATACGACAAAAAGGGTTGTAACAAATTTGTTTGATTCAAAGGTAGGAATATTATGATCTATGGGTTTTTTCTTTCAAGGTCATATTTTCAGAGTTTTGAAAGTATCGTCAATCATTGCGTATTGAAAGAAAAACTCATCGATCACAATATTCCTACCTTCGAGAAAACAAATTTGTTCAATGTATTTCAACGTAAACTTTTTCATGTAAACAAAATTAACGGAAGATATCTGAATGTGCAGGATAAAAGAAACCCCCTATATAATCTTGGCATAACCTTGACATAACCTCTCCCTGGATTTTGCACATTGATAGGTTAACCCAATAAAAAAGTACAGATTATCAATTGATATATGAAACTTTTTTTTCTATACTTTTCAATCAGGGGATACGGAAATTTCGACAGGCACGGGAACTGGGAACTATAATACAATTACATGAGCCGTTTATTTTGAAAGTGGCATAAGTCACTTTTTCAAAAAGATCGAGTTAATGGTAACACTAATTACAATCGAACGGTATCTTTTCATTTTTTTAAAATTTGCAATCAATAAGTTGAGAACTATTGAGATTTGTTCGAGAGAAGTTTTGCTAATTAACGGTATAACAAACATGTTTATTTTGAAAGTGGCGTAAGTCGCTGTACTCAGGAAATTAATTGCGGGGCTTAGTGTAAAAGAAATAGAAACGTGTGATAAGTGTGTGTGAAGTATTGTTTTGAATTATTTTCAGTATTTTTAAAAAAGTTGTGATCACTGGACTTATTTTTATAAGTGCGAAAGAATAGTGCAGTTTTGTAAATTATATTATAGTGATGTGGCGGCTACCTCCAGACCCGCCAGCAGATGGCTATAAAATGTTTTATAAACTAACTTTAGATGAAAAAGATGAATTTCTAACTTTGGATTTGTCACCAAAAAGAGGAAGACCTAGGCGTTATTCACAAATAGAAATGGATCCGTTATACGCTGGATCTCGTCCTGTTTCTTCAGCAAAATACAAAGACATGATGGACTTGCTTAATTATATACCCCCAATATACCACAGTTATTTAAAAAATTTGAAACAAAACACGATTTCCGAGGACTTAATCACTCCTATTGATGACGAAAATTAAATTGAACTGATGTATTTTCATATAAATTACTTATACTTATGTTTCAAAATGTACTAATTATTTTTGTATTTTATGAATATTAAAATAAAAAATACTTAAATCAAACCTTTATATTAAATATGTTCATGGTATAAATTATTATTATATATGTAATTTATTCAACAATTTGAGTAAATCACTGTCCTTTCAAAACATCACTTCGGTAAAATACGTCGAACAAAATTAATATATGTCAGTCATTTTTCTAAACTATTTATTTTGAAAGTGTTGATTTTTAATGTTTATACGAAATTATTTATACTGAGAAAAATATCAGTATCCTGAGATAACAAATACAAGTAAATCTTCTCGAAAGTTAGTATCCATATTTTTAAACCTGTTAAAACGCAAATCCTTAAATATATCGACTTAAAAACAAAGTGACTTATGCCACTTTCAAAATAAACGGCTCATATGTAGAAGCACGAATGATTGGAATGATTTTTAAGTAACGACTGATGAGGGCAAATTGGTATTTTTAAAAAATAGTTCATGGGCTAGCATAGTACAGCGCCATAAACGGGTGTTCCATAATTCAGTCAATAAGTAATCGCAACAATATTCCTTGTGTAACAATTGTCTGCTTATAAAAAGATCGCCGATTTTTATTCACTTATAGCATGACAAATTAATAGAAATTAATCGCATCCGCACTATTTTTACCATAAAAGATAAGTGTGCGAAACGAATTTTTATTTTATTGTTCTCGTGAACAAAATTGTAAGATACTCGAGAAGATTGAGAATGCTCGGAATCATCCATTAGCTGCCCAATTTTCATAAAATTTTAAAGTTTAATATGAGAACAATAATGGGCTTTTATCCCGATAATTTTCAAAACGACTTATAATTTTATTGAATAATATAATTTTATTGCTGACCTGCCAAGATTTTATCCTGATGGTTCAAGCGATGTGCCACAAAAGCGTCGCAGACTCGTTAATAATAATAGTGAACAATTTCAATTACAAAATCGTAAAGAACGAACTTCTTCAACTAATAACAATCAAGAATTTCTTAACCCGTCCATAATCAGCGGAACCCTTCCCTATCCATGTTGCATCCGCCCATATCGCGACATCTAAATGTTCTCCGCTCGTCTGTATCTCATTAAACGCAAGGCTATCGACGTTAATCGATATCGTGTGTACAGTTTAAGTGATATTCCTCGAGCCGCATTATCCGCCCCTCTGGGCAAGGTAACACGATAGTTTCCACATAACAACGACAAAGAGAAAACGAAGAAAAAGTGCGTCGACACGATGCGACGCGACGCGGCTGTGGAAATCGTTGGAGACTAAGAAAAATATCAGGACTACGCAGTATACAAAGCCGAACCTGAACGGCTCGTCGCGTCGGGACGTCGCACACTGTTTCAGGTTGTATGGAGATGCGGTCTTTATTGCTTTTTTTAAGATACCAAGTTTTCTTTTGCTTTTTAGCCTTTTATTTATCTTTACGCGTCCAGTGCAGCTATAATTAAACGTTACTGTAGCATATATTTTTTAATTATTTCTTTTTATTTTCTTTTATTTTGTTCCAGCTATTATTATATA